GGAAGGTTTGGAGCTGGGATGTGGTTTCTAAATGGGATCAGTTAATCCTCAGTTGGTGAGAAGGTTTAAAAAGATCTGTCTTGGCTAGGCGCGGTGGCTCATGCCTGTAATCCCAGCACTTTGGGAGGCTGAGGCAGGCAGATCACCTGAGGTCAGGAGTTTGAGACTAGCCTGGCCAACATAGTGAAACCCCGTCTCTACTAAAAATACAAAAACTAGCCGGGTGTGGTGGCGGGTGCCGATAGTCACAGCTACTCAGAAGGCCGAGGCAGGAGAATTGCTTGAAACTGAGAGGCAGAAGCTGCAGTGAGTGGAGATCCGGGCCACTGCACTCTAGCCTGGGTGACAGGGTGAGAGCCATCCCCCCCACAAAAAAAAAAAAAATCTGTCTCATTCATCTTCCTGCCTCAGGTCTAGGGAGAGTCAGTCTAAACCAACAGCCACAGGTATAAATAAATGCTTCCAGGGGCCTGATAGGTAACATGAAGACAGACGTTGGCTGAATGTGAGAAAGCACTCACTTCCACCCTTTGGAGATAGTCAGCCTCAGCACCAGAGAAGCAATAGGGAATAGAGGGGCTTGGGGCACACACCCCTTCTCATCCGCATCAGCCGAATGTTGCTTCGGCCCAGCATCTCCTGATCTACTGATTTTTCAGTAAAACCTCCCAATTTTGAAAAAGTTGGCCAAGCCAAACACATTTGTGAGCCAGACACGGCCCAGCGGGTGTCAGGTTGTAGCTTCCAGTCTCAATGACCTGGGACACTCCTCCTGAACTTCTCCAGGCTGGGGATTCTAGAACCAGCATTCTGTGGCTCTGGCTGCCAGGAAGTTCTTGCTCACTTCCAACTAAAACTTCTGCTTAAAGTCCTTTTTATTTTTGTGTGGGTGGAGGTATGAGTGAGTATTGGCTCGTATAAGAAAACTTTCAGAAACTGGAAAAACAGCCCTGATGCCGTGAACCGAGAAGCGAGTGGGTGTCAGAAGACCCACGTTCAAGTCCAGCTCTGTTTGTATCATCTGCGTGACTTCGACCCCCTTCCCCTCACTGATCGTTAGTTTTGTATTTGTTCCTTTCTCTCCCTCTCTCCTTTCCCTCTGCCCTGGGCTCACCATCTCCCACCCAAATCACATCATGATCACAATTGTAACCAGAGCTGCTTCCTGCTGTCTTGTGTGTTAGGCCCGTGCTAAGCATTTTCCATTAACTATTTTATCTCAATAATTCTATGGGCTGGATATTTTTATTCCCATTTTACAAGTTAAGGAACTGAGCTCAAGGCTCTACGGCTAGTAAATGGTAGAGCTGGGGTATGACCCTGGGCTGTCCTGTCTCTTTCCCCGGGCTCCCTGCTACCACACCAGGCTCCTCTTAGCCATCACAGTGGGCTTCCTAACACAGAGATCCAACTGTGACCCTCCACTGCTCAACAACCTCGGGTGGCTCCCTATTGCCTTAGCAACTCACTGGCCTGGTGCTGTGGCCTGTCAGTCAGTTCCCAGCCTACCTTCCCTACTTCTTCTAAACATACTTTATGCTGTAGCCCAGGGCTTTCCAATCATCATGGACCCCATTCATGAGGTTCTTTCTGCCATGTTCACATATTCTAATTTTTTATTGGCTTAATATTTTTTATTAATTATTATTTACTTAACGTTTGACTTTTTGTCAATTCTTTTTCAACTTAAATTTAGTTTTTGACTGGGTGTGGTGACTCATGCCTATAATCCCAGCAGTTTTGGGAGGCCAAGACAGGAGACTCGCTTGAGCCCCGGAGTTCAAGACCAGCCTAGGCAACACAGGGAGGCCCTATCTCTACAAAAAATAAAAAGTTATCTGAGCATGGTGGCACACACCTGTAGTCCTAGCTGCTTGGAAGGCTGAGGTGGGAGGATTACTTGAGCCTGGGAGATAGGCTGCAGTGAGCTATGATCATACCACTGTACTCCATCCAGCCCAGGTGATGGAGCGAGACCCTGTCTCAAAAAAAAAATTATTTATATTTATTATTATGTGTTTGTGCTGTTTAAAATTACTTCCTAATAGTCATTAAGATGAAAAGCTGTAAACTAAAAAATGTTTGTCTAAGCGCCATCTAAAATCTCCCCTCCTGGAACCCTTGGTGGATGCCCCACCTTGGAAAGTGCTGCCTGGACACACATCTCTGTGTCTCTCCTTCCACTGCCCGCTCCCTGGGCTGGGCAACCTCCTGCCCACCCTTCAGAGCCCTTCCAGCCTTGCCTCTCTTCTCTTTGCTTTTCAGGACACATGTACTTCCAGGCAGAGCCCTTCCAGACTTGCCTCTCTTCTCTTTGCTTTTCAGGACACATGTGCTTCCAAGCACACATGTGCTTGAGGGATGGACCCACCACCCATCAGACACAGCTTAGAATTATCTGTGGATGAACTGCCTTCTCCATGGACTGCCGGCCCCCAAGGCAGGAGCCAGGCTGGAATGCAATGGCACGATCTCGACTCACTGCAACCTCCGCCTCCCGGGTTCAAGCGATTCTCCTGCCTCAGCCTCCTGAGTAGCTGGGATTACAGGTGCCTGCCACCATTCCTGGCTAATTTTTGTGTTTTCAGTAGAGACGGGGTTTCACCATGTTGGCCAGGCTGGTCTTGAACTCCTGACCTCAGGTGATCCACCCACCTTGGTCTTCCAAAGTGCTGGGATTACAGGCGTGAGCCACCACGCCTGGCTTAGTTACCTCCTGTTTATGACAAGGGATACTGATTTTTTCATGGTTGTGATATAAAATTTTCTATTTAGATATATTTTTCAGTGTACAAAGTAAGTTGATTTAAAGAAAAATATTGAGCAAATAATAAGTAGTAGATTTTATTATTTTCTTATATATTTTATCCAGTAAGTGGATGTGTAAAAGTTGTTTCAGTGATACTAAACTTTGGGAACCATGGGACAGGATCAACCCTAAGTCCCGGTGCCATAAGATTATCTGACATGGGGGTGCCCCCAAACACTAGACAGCTGTTAATCAAATGCCCCACAAAAATTACAGCTATGATGGGTTATCATAAAGGAAAGATACATGACATGCTAGAGTAAGAGTCAGAGAAATCAGGGAAGGCTTTCCTGAAAAGGTGACATTTGGGTGAAGATTTACTGGGTGAATAAGAATTCATTAGACGAAGGTATTCCTCCAAGCAGGAACAGCATGTACAAAGGCCCTGGGGCAGCAGGGAGCATGAACCGTAAGAGGCTCTGAAGCAAGGCTGGAGCCGCTGGAGCACAGAAGTGAGGCCAGGGAGGTAGGCTGGCAACAACCTTTATTATTTAAAGACAGGCAGGGGAAGGAAATCTGCACGTTGTTCCCAATCTGGAAAGGGTTGCTCACCCTTTGACAGGGGACAAACCAGTGCCTGACCCTTGATCTGAGGATCTGGGGTTCAGTGAGGGATTTCTAATAACTAGGTTAGGTGTGAAGCCAGGAGAGGCTTGGCAAACACCAGGTGCAGGCTGTGGCCCTGGAGTGACCGTGACCGCTGACTGCAGGCTCAGAATTCAGACTGTCCTAACTTGCACTTTCTAGTTGGAGTGACCTTGGGCAGCTACTTAATTTCCCAGAGCCTGAGGTCCCCATCTGTTGGAGATAGCAGCAGGTCTAATCTTAGAGTTGGTACGAGTCACCGACTCCTAGATGTAAATCACCTAGCATGGGGCCTTGCCTGTAGGGAGAGGTGCATAACCATTGGCTTATGAGAGTATTTTCAAACAGCTCCAAGAGCCATGTGTGTGTACACCTGCCCCGCCAGTGCATGGATGGAGGTGCCTGGTTTTGCAATATGTCTGTGGTGTGTATGCCAGTGTATGTCCATAGTTCAGCAGTATGGGGGAGCAGGTAGAGAAGGTATGGGTGTATGAGAAGGCGTGAACATGTGTTCAGCTGTGTGAGTCAGTGGGAGCATTCAGGTGTGCTCTGTGCGTGCATGTGTGCGTGTGCGTGCATGTGTGCGTGTGCGTGCATGTGTGCGTGTGTGTGCATGTGTACGTGTATGTGCGTGCATGCGTTTGTGTGTGTGAGAGAGAGAGAGAGTATGAACACCTCTATATGGAATTCTTCTGCTTGTGGAGATGCATTTCTGTGAGTGAAAACCCATACAAATTCAACACGGTTGGTCACAGTCACGGGGTTAAAGCCTTGGCCTGTCTTCACAGCTTTTTTCAAATCCTTACAGCCCCTGTGAATCTGCCTGAGGCTTTTGTATCTGTCTGGAGCTGGGCTGAAATCCTCTGAAAACAGACTTTTCTTTCATTCCCTGTTGCCAGATACTGGCACAAACGCATCCCCGCCACCACACACACACACACACACACACACACACACACACAAATTCTTCCAGAATGTCCCAACTTTTTTCAAGGTTCCAGCCCCAAAAGTCCCTTCCTCTTCCCTCTCCCCAGCCAATTCCCATGGAAGCACCCTGTGTTCAATGTGTCTATCTGAGTTTCCATAGCTGAGTCTAAACAGCAAAAGCATCCCAAGTTTTGGTAAGCGGTTCTCTCCTTTTCACTCTGGACCCTTAACCCTCCTCGCTCTGCACTGCCTGGCTGGCCTGGGAGGGGACTTTCATCCCCACCACCACTCTCCCCCATCCAAACTCCCTGTCGGGACAATGTGCATTATCACAGTCAGTTCCACAACTAATATGCAAAACCACCCCGTTTCAGCCTTTAGCCTGAGGGCTGAGATTCAGGCTCAGGTCTAGGGGTTGGGGAATATTAAAGTTTACAAGTCCAATCTTACTCCATCCATGCACACACATGGAGAAGCCGGGAGAGGACGCGGCCAGAGATGGGCTCCTGCCCCTGAACCCCTGCTGGGGTGGAAGCAGGTAAGCACAGCCCCGCCGAGGCACTGAGGGTCGTCTCAGCGTAAAAGGCCGGGGCCACCTGGGGTTGTTCTGTAGGGAAAGGGGAGGGCTGTGCCCGCTGAAAGGGGGCAGAGCGAGGTGGTCCAGGCCTTGGCGCGTTACCATGGTGACGGGCTGCCAGCGGCAGGCGGCGCGGCTCCTCTCCTGGGCGCGGGGTCTGTGGGTCCGCGGGTCCGTCTGTCTGGGGCAGGCCTCAGTCCCGCCTAGCCCTGGAGCCAGGGGAGAGGGCAGGCCCGGGGCACCGACCCCGGCGTCATCTCGGAGGAGCGGCCGAGGGGGACAGGGAGAGAAACAGAGAGAGAGAGACAGAGAAAGACTGAGGCTGAAGACGGCGAGAGACACAAGAGAGCCACGGGCGGCGCAGGTCGGGCCACCGGACCGGGGGCGGCAGCAGAGGCGGGGCGGGGCGGGGCGCGGCGCGACAGCGGCCCCTTTGTGCCTGGCCCTCGCCCCCAGCCCGCGCGCCCCGCCCCCACCGCCCCCTTCCCTCCGCCCACCCCCTCGGCCGCCAGCTGGAACCCTAGGAACCCCAGCCCGCCCCGCCGAGTTTTCCTCCTCGCTCCTCGCCCTTCCCATGGCGCGCCCGGCCCAGACGGCCCCATTGTACAGAGGGGCAGAGCGAGGTCTCGAGCCGCAGCAGCCGGGTTAAGCGCCCGCGGACCTCGCTGGCAGGCCCGAGTTCGAGCCTCCTCCTCATCCACTTCCCAGCAAGTCACAGACTCTCTTCAGCTTCGATTTCTTCATCTGTAAAATGGGGTAGGAGGAGGAGGAGGAGGAGGAGGATGATGATGATAGTGCCTGCTGCTTAGATTTGGTGATGAGGAGTAAGCATCTGTCCCAGCGCCCTTGAATTCTCCCACATTAGGCCCGATCATGACGGCCTAATTCAAGGCTTTGAGGTGATGACGGCTGTGTGCGAGTTCTGTTCTTGACTCTCAGATAATGACCTTGGTCAAGTCGGTATTTCCTCCTGAACCTCAGCTTTGGAGTGACACTAAGAAACTAGATGACTGCTAGGGTCTATATGTGTGTGTCCCCTCCCAAATTCATAGGTCCAAACCTAATCCTCAGTATGATGGTGTTAGGAGGTGGGGCCTTTGGGAAGGGATTGGGTCATGAGGACAGAGCCCTCACGAATGGGATTAGTGCCTCTCTCTATATATATATACACACACACACACACATATATGTATGTGTATATATAGGGACTAATATATAGGCATATACACACACACATATATATACACACATATATATACACATATACATATACACACACACATATATATATTTGAGATGGAGTCTCACTCTGTTGCCCACCCAGGCTGAAGTGCAATGGCATGATCTCAGCTCACTGCAACCTCTACCTCCCAGGTTCAAGCAATTCTCCTGCCTCAGTCTCCTGAGGAGCTGGGATTTTAGGCACTCGCCACCACACCTGGCAATTTTTGTATTTTTAGTAGAGACAGGATTTCGCCATGTTGGCCAGGCTGGTCTCAAACTCCTGACCTCAGGTGATCTGCCTGTCTCACCCTTCCAAAGTGCTGGGATTACAGGCATGAGCCACCGTGCCCAGCCTAGTGCCCAAGAGGCCCCAGAGAGCTAGCTGCCTTGCTCCTTCCACCATGTGAAGACACAGCGAGAAGGGACTGTCTATGAGCCAGATAGGCCCAGAAACATAAGGTCCAGAAAGAAGGCTCTTACCAAACACCCAACTTGCCTGTGCCTTGATCTAGGGCTTCCCAGCCTCCAGAACTGTGAGAAGAGAATTTTTGTTGTGTATAAGCCTCTCAGTCTAAGGTATGTTGTTACAGCAGCCCAGACTAAAATAGTGACCAAAGTTATTCCTGGTGAGATGACTCGGGGATTTGTCCATTTATTTATCAAACTCTGTGCCCTGAGTCAGCCTGTCTCCCCCACTAGACTATACACTACTTGAGAGTCCCTGCCCTCAAGTAATGTACAGTCTAGTGGGGGAGACAGGCAAGGAACAGATAAACAGGAAAAATAAAAAAATAATAACTGTGGTAACTGCTAAGAAGGAAGCAAACAAATGTTGACACTGGGAACTGTAGAGGGATCAACTTATCGCTGGTGGTCTAGGAAGCCTAGGTCTGAAAGCCTAGATCTGAAAGGGGGAAAAGCCTAGATCTGAAAGGGGAGGAATTAGAAGAGTGGAGACGGGGAGATGCAGAGAAACCAAGTTCTAAGCAGAGAGAACAGCATGTGCAAAAGCTCTGAGGCAATATTCAGCTTAAAGGAACTGGGGAGTAAGTGAAGAACTGAAAAAGACGAGTGTAGTTGTAAGGGTTAGAGTTCAGACCCAAGCCTTATCCACAGCCAATCTCCCTCCCCACACAGGTTAATCAGTCTTTTAGCAGAGAAAACCTGACCTAGGAGCCATCCTATCCCAACTTCTGATAAGTTTCTTCACATCCCTGAGCTTCACTTGCTCATCACTAATTTGGGACTACTAATCCCCCCGCGATAGTTCCATTACGCTACACAGCCCAGCAATCAAGTAAACCCTCTCTACAGGAGACGGTCTAGATAGTTTTAGTATCATGACTCCAGATGTGAATTAAGGAGAGAATAGACTTGATGTCCAGTACTGAATTCCACTGAGAGTTGGGAGATCACAGCTTGAAGGTTTTAGAGTCCCAGGTTGCCATGAGACAGAATTGACATGACAGCCAGCATTCTGGGGTTGCAGGCAACAGAAACGGGTTCTGAGTTAAATAAGCAGAAAAGAATGGATTGGCACTCAGAGAATCAATGAGGAGGCTGGGGTCTATCCTCTGGAAAGCACTGGAGTAAGTAGGATGCTCCAGGGATCTCGTTATCAGGAAAGAGTTGGAAATGTTTGAACACATGGAATTACATTAAGACAAACAAACACACCAAAGTAGAACTTTATATGTGTCAGGTACTTTTCTAAGTATATAACAGTTATGAAGAAGATTCTATTGTTGTCCTCACTTTACAGATGAAAAACTGAGGCACCGAGAGGGTATGTAGCCTGCCCAATGTCAGACAGCTAGTAAACTGTGGATTTCTGAATTGGACACAGCTATCCAATTTCGTAAGCTATGTTATTAACCTCTTTGCTACGCTACCTGAATAAATCCCAACCATTCTCTCTGCCCTTGTGTTCCTCACTGATGGACTCAGAACCTTAAAAGAGCCAGGCATGATGGCACGCTCCTGTAATCCGAGTTACTTAGGAGACCAAGGTGGAAGGATCACTTGAGCCCAGGAGTTCGAGGCTGCAATAAGCTATGATTCACCATTGCACTCCAACCTGGGAGACAGAGTGAGACCCCGTCTCTAAAAAACAAACAAATAAAATAAAGCCTTTATAGAGAAATTCTAACTGGGTCATGTGCCCAGGGCCTCACTAAGACTGCACCTGCACATATCAGGAATAGTTGGTCACCCAAAAGGAAATTAAATTGCATTAAAAGGAGAAGAAATGAATATGAAATTGTCCATAAACAAGTACAATTACAGACTGGGCACAGTGGCTCATGCCTGTAATCCCAGCACTTTGGGAGGCCGAGGCGGGCAGATTGCCTGAGCTCAGGAGTTTGAGACTAGCCTGGGCAACATGGCAAAACCTTGTCTCTACTAAAAATACAAAAAATTAACCAGGCATGGTGGCACACACTTGTAATCCCAGCTACTGGGAGGTTGAGGCAGGAGAATCACTTGAACTTGGGAGGTGGAGGTTGCAGTGAGCTGAGATTCACACCACTACACTCCAGCCTGGGTGACAGAGTGAGACTCTGTCTCAAAACAACAACAACAACAAAAAGGTACAATTACAGTCTACCCCTTGGGCCTCTCAACATACTTTATATCCTTGTTCACAGGCATGTTCTTCCAAAACTTTTCTCTACTGACACGGTATAGCAATTCCATATGCAACCAACAATGTGCACACACACACACACACACACACACCCGCTATGGTTTGTAGTCATACTGTGTATGACCTCAGGGAGGTTCACTTTTCTGAGCTTCAGATTCATCTTTTGTAAAAGAGAGAGAATCATACTTCCTCATTGGACTGTGGTAGAGAATAAGTTAATGACTGTAAAGTGCTTTGTACTGTGTCTGCTACATAGAATTAACATGCATCTTATAAAATAGTGCTGTTATTCCAAAAAATAGGGAGGAGGGAATACTTCCAAACTCATTCTATGAGGCCAGTATTACCAAAACCAGACAAAGACACATCTAAAAAAGAAAACTACAGGCCAATATCTTTTATGAATATGGGTGCAAAAATTCTCAACAAAATACTAGCAAACTGAAATCAGCAATACATTAAAAAGATCATTCATCATGACTAAGTGGGATTTATCTCTGTGATGCAAGGATGGTTCAACATATGCAAATCAATCCATTCTGTTGATGTAATACATCATATCAACAGAATGAAGGATAAAAACCAGAGGGTCATTTCAATTGATACTGAAAATGCATTTGATAAAAGTCAACTTCTGCTCATGATTAAAAACCCTCAAAAAACCAGGTATAGAAGGAAAATACCTCAACATAATAAAAGCCGTATACGACAGACCCATAGCTAGTATCATACAGAATGGGGAAAAACTGAAAGTCTTTCCTCTAAGATCTGGAACACAACAAGGATGACCACTTTCGTCACTGTTTTTCAACATAGTACTGGAAGTCCTAGATAGAGCAATCAGGCAACAGGAAGAAATAAAGGGCATCCAAATTGGAAAGGTAGAAGTCAAAATATGCTTGTTTGCAGATGACATAATCTTATATTTCAGAAAGCCTAAAGACTCCACCACAAAACTCTTAGAACTGATAAACAAATTCAATAAGATTGCAGGATACAAAATCAACATATGAAAATCAGCAGCATTTCTATATGCCAACAGTGAACAATCTGAAAAAGAAATTTAAAAAGTAATCCCATTTAAAATAGCTAAAAATAAAATTAAATACCTAGGAACTAATTTAACCAAAGACATGCAAGATCTCTATAATGAAAACTATAAAATATAAAATGAAAGAAATTGAAGAGGACACCAAACAGTGGAAAGATACTCCCAAAGCAATATACAGATTCAATGCAATCCCTATCAAAATACCATTGACATTCTTCACGGGAATAGAAAAAACAATCCTAAAATTTATGTGGAACCACAAAAGACCCAGAATAGTCAAAACTATTCTAAACCAAAAGAAGAGTGGAGTAATCACATTACCTGACTTCAAATTATACTTCAGAGCTATAGTAACCAAAACAGCATGTTACTGATATAAAAACAAATACATAGAACAATGGAACAGAATAGAGAACCCAGAAAGAATTCTGCTTACCTACAATGAACTCATTTTTGACAAAGGTGCCAAGA